AAAAAAAAAAAAAACACTTACTACTACAGTTGCAACTTCAACACAGCACTCCCCCAATCAAAGGCTTAGCGCACACCTTAATTTGCATTAAAATATTGTATGCGGAAAGTTAGCAGAATTCAGAAAAGCTGAAAGATCATGAACAAGGCCCAAAGCCCCAAACTGAGAGTTTCATTTGTAAATGAAGCCCAATATTTTTCCGTTTATGGGTTTTCTTTTTTCTTTTTTCTTTTTTCTTTTTTCTTTTTTTCTAGGCCTAACGCTGCTGCAGGCTAATGTACACTCATGGTATATACTCTTGCAACACTAAAGTGGTAAAGCCTGAACCCAATAGGTCTTGAATAACGACTAGATTTGTGCTCAAGGCTGTGGGGTATGATTTATGTTGTTATGTAACAATTATGTAGCATAGTTTTATGATAGTTCTAACAGGATTCAGTGCATTAGTGTTGATATGATCTCATCTAATTTTATGTTAGTTTGATATATAATAGTTGAAGTGCTCTTTACTCTAATTAATAAAATATTTTTTTGGTTGATAAAAAAAAAAAAAAAAAAAAAAAAAAACTAAGGCCTTGGTCCTCTTGGATAGCCTATACTGGAGTCCAATGAATCCGTTGTCTTGGACTTGGACTTCGACTAGTCTTGGATAGGTGTAGCATATATATTAGTTAAATTTTAAAAGCAAATATCTACTTTTTCATAATTTGCTAAGCAAATTTGGTGCAGCACAATGGTTAAATTTCTAATAACTTTGAAACTTTCAGGTTTAATTCCTAGCACCAAAAAATAATTTCTTTTATTCATAATTTGTTTATTCTATAAAATAATTGTAGTTCATTAATAAGCAAACAAGTTCAGTGTAACATAATATGGTTAAATTTCTATTGGTTAAGAAATTCTAGGTTTAATTATTGGCACCAAAAATAATTTCTTCTTTTTTTTTTAAATTTATAAGTATCATTCCTATAAAATAATTATCTTTCATTCTTTGATAAACAACTCTGGTGTAGTACTTTGGTTAAATTTCTAAAGCAATGTGAAATTTGAGATTATGCCACCAAAAATTTTGTTCTTATTGTTCAACTATTGTACATTGCTTATATTATTACCTGTTAGCTATATTAAAAAAAAAATTAATATTTTTTGGAACATCAAAATTATTGAGATTTCAAGTTTCAAGCATCAGAAAATTGGGTTTCATTTGGGAAATGAAATGAAGCCCATTGTTTTGGGCACATTGTACATGAGTTTTCTTATAGGCCTGACTTTACTGCAGGCTTATGTCTTAATTAAATAGTCCTTCCACGACGTCGTACATGGCCATTCATCTTACGCTATTAGGGATCTTCGTGTATAATACCTATAGCATTGGAGAATCAATATTTCTTTTGTTCTTTTCTAATAGATTTATTTTAAGCTTTTGGCTTTTCAAATATGAATTTTAAATAAAAATTTAATAATTTATATAAATAATAATCGAAAAAAAAATTTTATACAAAGTTTCTTTTGAGTACTTTAATTCAATTAAAATTTTTTTTATTATTATATTTATAATATGTTAAATTTTTATTTGAAATTTATATATAAAAAGGTAAAAAAATCAAACTAAGATTACTAAAAATAAATAGTAATCTGTCTGGGCATTCAAGAAACATTGATCTACATTATGAACGATTAGTTTTTCATTTAAAGTTTTGTATGTTTTGATTTCATGTCCAAAACAGTAGTTCATTTTTGGTAATTTTTTTTTTTTTTTTTGTGGTCCCATTTTCTTTGTTGATTTGTGGCTTGCTATTCCTTTTATTTGGGGCTAGGCTTTTCACAAACCTAGGTGTTAAAGAACTTGTTTGCTTCAATAGGTAGAAAGAGAGGGAGGGGGAAGAAAGTTGAGAAATTGGTGTTGAATGGTTGAAGAGGAAGATGGAGAGACAAGAAAAAAAAGAGGCATTGTGGGGGAAAAAATGGCTTTAAAGATAAATTTATAATTTTATTTTTATAATTATTCATTTTAAAAACTGTGTTCCCACCAAATGTCGAACCGGTGAGTGCATGAAATCATTATCCTTAAAATTAATATCAATTTCATATTTTTTTTATATAAATTTATTGTAAAAAAAATACGTTTAACTTATATCTAATCTTAAAAAAACCTCTAATAAAATATGTACAAGTTTCTCATTAACATGGACAAACAACCAACCAAAAAAGAACATTTAATGAATAAAATAACTCGAAAGCAACACCCAGTGAAATCCCAAGGCAAATTTCATACCCAATAAGCGTGCAATATCTGTTCCGTCCACCTTCTCTGTTAATTAATTACTTACCATAACTATACTATCAACATTTCTAAATCCCTCCTTTTAGGTGAGTCATTAAAACTTTAAAACCTTTCCCTACTAACAAGCCGCCGAAGAGGGGCTTGATTGGAGGGCGGGTGTTCCCACTTTAGATGACAGCGTGGTGGCAGCGGTGGTGGTGACGGCGGCCGTGATTTTAGTGGGGCCCTTATCAATAACAGTGGTGGTCACGCGCTCACACCGCGGGCACATTGTGAGGGTGGATGCCGGAAGGGGCTTGCAGCTGTGTGGTGACAACACGGTGGGTGGCCCCACTTTCATGGCTCTAAGCTCCTCCACCTCCCTCTGAAGCCTCCGGTTCTGTTCAGATAGTGACCCAAACCACCTCTTCAAGTACTCACATTCCATTTCTGTCTGCTTCAACTTGCTCCTGTCGTACCATGCATGTATATATGCAATAATTATGAACACAGATTTAGTTAACATCAACTCGATCGTTTAAACTTTTCCCATCAAAATAAAAAAGTAAAAATAAATAAAAAAAATTAAAACTTGTTTCAACTTTTTATGATTAAATTTGTTTGTTCTTTTAATTGTTATTGACATATGTTCCTATTTTTTTATAATATATAGACTTGACATTTAAGTATGAGATATATATATATAATGTTTAAATAAAAAAAAAAACCTTTTGGCACATGATCCTTTGAGCCAACTGATAACTTGCCAGTTTGAGATGCATTTTCCCTTTCTATAGGCAGGTTTTGAACTCACCCTTGACAACTTGTTAAAAAAAAAAAAAAGCCTTTTGCATTATCTTTGTTCTCCATTTCCCTTCTCCATTTTTGTTAATTAAATAATGTGCAACAAATTTTTTTATGTGAAATACATATGTACAGGCTATGGATTACATTTAGTCTATACAATGTATAAATACATCACCACTAATCAGAAACTATAAGAAATAACAAGCAAACAACTAAATTAAAGAAAACCAGAAAATAATGAACAAAAACCCCCACAAGGTGAAACTAGAACCCATAACCTCTAAGGGATTTCACATTTCGGTCTTTGCCACTAGTAGTGTGTAACAAATTTATCTTGGATTTTTAATTCAAAAAAACAAAACTACTACTTAGACCATCATCCTATTCAAACTGCAATGCTTTTTTTTTTTTTTTTATTTTGAAGATGAATTTCAAACTACAATTCTAATGATATGGTTGACATGATCCTCAAATTTAAAACTTAGATTCATATCAAATTAGTCATATGTTGTACAAAAGTATTATTTGAACTGATAAAAAAAGGTATTATTTAAAATTATGTTAAAAAAATTAAATCAACATATATATCAATGGACAGAAGTGATCAGTATATTATTTAAGCAAATTAGAAGGGTTATGGATAATTAAGTTACCCTTTTCAATAATGCAACACGTAATGTAATGATTCATGAATGCATGGGTAAGTCCAAAGAATATTGATTGAGTCAAAAGAAGCACTTAATGAGGGTGAGAGTGATGATCAGACAGCACACGAGGCCGAATGAGGGGTAAGGATTTATATATGCATGAGAGGAGAGCAAACATGACATCTTAAATCTTAATTTCATATCTTGTTGTGCTATCATTGTAATGTTGATGTTTTGGACAAAACATCATTATGTTTGATTCCTAAAAAATGAGCTACTTGCTCACGAAATAACCACATCATTAATTCCTCATAATTCCAGCCACTTGTCGGTTTGTTTTGTTGTGTTTGTGTAATAAGTTTTAGTTTTAGATTTTATTGTTTGTAATAATTAGGTTTTTCTTTTTTTTTCTTTTCTTTTTCTTTTTGGGTAAATGACATATCAAGAAAAGGATTCTATGACTAACCCCACTTACCATATATAATTTGACAATGCATTTTGTCCAAGTCTACTGAAAATATTATCAAAATAAAGAAAAAGAAAATGTCTAATTATCACTAAAATGCATATATGCTTTTTTTTTATCACCAAAGATAAAAATGCAGTGCTCTAACTCATGCATTACAGATTTCGCAAGACTGTATAATGTGTCTGTGTAATTAGTTGAGTTGATTTTCCATGTTGTGAATGTTATATATGTCATGGATGCATACAAAATTCAACAGAAATTCACACTAAAAATAGGTTTTTGTTCTAACTTACTTTTCCAAACCCCATTTTCTTTACCCCAGGTGCATATTTATGTTATGTTCTAACTTACTTTTGCCATAAAATTATAAGGATGACTCATGACTGTGATATGTTAACATCCAAAAAGCAACAGTTATATATGTATAATGGAATAACATTTGACTGCAACGGCACAACCCTCTTTAATTTCTCTTTGCGTACGTTTTTTCAAAGTCAAATGACCAAAGACGCCCCTTTTTTTTTTTTTTGGTTTAATGAAACACACCATTAATTAAATTTAATGTATAGATATTATTATAATTAATTTTATTAAACAAATAAATACATATAATGCCACACATGATCATTTAAATAACGAAAACTAATTACAAAATGCCACATTATAGTGTACATAAACATTGTACTTTCATGTTTCTATTTTCGGTGTTTGGTTAAATAGGATTTTATTCATAAAAACTATAGAAAAAAAATTCAGCCATAAATATGGATGTACGTATAGTACCTGGCCCTACGGTTTTGGAACCAAACCTCAACCTGCCTTGGCTTCAGCTTTAACTGCATAGCCAATGTTTCTTTCTGCTTCTGCAGATACGAAAATCAAGTGCTTAAATAACAATAATAATAATAATAAGAGGAGAGTACAATTTTCTTGGATTTGTTTATACGTATACATGATCTGACTTTAGAGAGAACATAGATGAGTTTTTTTTTTTTTTTTACAACAAAAAATTATTTATTATTTAAGTACAATGGGCACTCGATAGATCAGGTATGAGTATTAACGCGCTTAATATGATTTAAGATGCCATTTTAAAAAAAAAAGTTAAGATTAATAGGTTGAACATATATTCATACAGGATTTAGGGTATGGTTCTGTCTGAAACTTTCTTCGAGGAGAAGAGACTGTTCCTTTGTGAGGCGAAGTTTCTTCCGAGGAGGAGCTGCTCCTCCATTGCTGCTTTCTTCATCATCTTCCATGCTTGCTATCATCCATTCCTCTTCTCCTCCTGATGGGACTTGGTTTATGTCCAAATCTCTCACTGCTCATATCATATATTAAAGGAAAATGATAAAGATCGTACCAAAACTACTGAATCATCAATATCAATTTTTACCAAATATGAGGATCATCATCGGGGTAAACAAGTTCATATATCCCAAATTAACATGCAAGAAATCCCGACATAAGATCATAGAACATAAAGATCATATGACAAAATAAAATAAAAAGGTAGGGAATTTGATAATTCATCCTAAGAAAGAAGAAAGAAGAAAGATCGAAAAAAGGGGAAAGGAATAACTAGATTCACAAAATAAGAGAAAGAAAGGGCCGAAGAGAAGAGAGAGATGGTTTTTGATACTGGTTTTGATCATAGCTCAGCAAGTAACTTTGCCGATCCAATTAAAAAGAAGAAGAAAGGAAAAGAAAGATTTGATACTTACCAGAAGGGTGAAAAGAAGGGGAAGAAGAGAAGCCAGGAACGGATATTGTTAACTCCAAGCTGGAAGAACTGGAGGGAAGGACCGCCATGAAAATTGCAGACGATGATCAGAAGCAAGAAGGAGCGATAAAAGTTTGATTATTTGTAAGGAGAGAAAAGGTAAAGTTTAAAAAGGGGACAAACGAAAGACAGACGAAACAAAAGAATATGAAAAGAAAAGAGATAAAGGTCAAATATATAGATACAACAATAATAAAAAAGAAGCAAATTAAGAACTCAAGATTATCATTTTAATTATTTTCGTACAGGGCGAGAATGAAAATTGATTGATATACAACCTTATCTTATAATAAAATTTTACAATAATAATATTTTTTTCATTTAGTGGGTTAGATAAATAAATACTTGTATATTCATTTAATATTATTGTGGGATTATATATATAGATATATATATATATGCATCTATTTGTATTATTGTGAAATTTAATTGTAAGATATTATCTCCATTGGACAATAAAAATTTTAATTTGGCATACATTTACTAATTTTCACCCAAATTTTTATTTTTTTAATGAATGAAAATTTTATTTACTTACAAGGGTAGTCTTACCCATATATTACAACAACATAAAAATTCAACTAAATCCCACTTCTTTCATATAATGCTTCTGGGAGCCTGCCTAACTAAACTTGCAATAAAAAATTATCAAATTAAGAATGCTATATATTATTGAATAGAGGGCGTAAAATTGTGGGTGTATAGTACTATTAATTCAGAGCTTTCCTTTGTTTTAAAATTAAAGCTGCAAGAAGTCATATTTCATTTCAAGACTTGGGGTACCAATCCATGGGAGAGTGTTATTATTAGAATGGAATATAGACAACGCTTGAGAAGGGTTAGAGACGAACATAACAGTTGGAAAGTATTTAATTAGTTTGAAATTTCTTTAAGTATGTTACTAATGGTGTTGATTGTACTTTGATATAAGGGAGTACCCCTTTTACTCCCTTAAAATTTATTTATTTACTTTAACTGATAAAAAAAAAAATCTGTGGGTGTATATACTGCTGTTATAATACTGAAAGTATGAAACGGTGTATGGTATGATATAGTGTAGGTATTAGGGTTTCTGACCATTGTCGTCAATTCAAAGGGTCAACCCATTGATGTTTGCCACGTGTCAGTATGATTGGTTCGGTGTAGGAGAATAGCCGGCAGCCGGCAGGGTTTTGAGTTAAAAGTGGTGAGTCGGAGTCTGGTTGTCGGCTCAAAGAGTCAGCTGGTGAAATGATTGGGAGCCTAAACTCTGCCATTAATTCAACTTCAACCACTACCCTTCTTTCATTTCCAATTTAATATTAATTCTATGCTTCTCATCTTCATTGTGACTCATGGACTTTAGCATCGTAGGATGTCCTTTTCACCTGGGTCGTCGATCATTTTTTCCCTTTGCAGTTTTCTTTATTATGATTCTTTAATGTATGTGGCAAGTGTGTGCAAGAGTCAATTATGAATAGTGAATGCATGCCAAGGGGCCAAAATAATATAGATACTGATATGATATTGTAAATTTATAATTTAATGTTTAATTATATAATTAATTTTTTATTTAAAAATTTATAAATAATATTATATATTTATTTATTTAATAACACACATTATAATTAGTTATAATATTGCGAAAAAAGATAGTCGCTTATACTTAGGGTTGGTCGAAGGTGGTAGTGGCCAAATTTGACCAAGGATTTACCCCCTGGGAATCAAATGTCAAGATTGAGCCAATTGCTCATTATGGGGGTTGGCTTTGGTGATCAACTTGTTGCCCGAGGTTCTTTCATTTTGGATGCATTATGCATAGTACAACCAATTTCCTTCATTTTGTTAAATGTGTGTTTCATTTTTCATTTTTGTTATTGCACACATCTCTAATTATGGGCTCAATAAGCGATATAATTTATCTTCCTTTTTCAAAGTACTCCTTACCCATTCCAGATTTCAAACTCAATTGAGACCTCTAACAAAAAAAATAGGTTTTTAATCACTTAGACGCATTCTAAATGACTTAATTTTAATTATTTACTATCATATCATAAAAAATACTTAATTTCGAACTTAATAGATTATCAAATTATCAACTTATTTTTCTTCTTAGTCAGCATTGGCAATCTATAAGTTTTGACCTAGTGATTAAGTTTGAGATTATTTCTCTTTTGTCCACTAGTTCGAGGTCATATAATGTCTTCAGATTTTATTGTTAATTTCAACCTATTTTTCTTTGTAATCTCAGCACTGACAATCTATAAGTCTTGACCTAGTGATTAAGTTTGAGATTATTTTTCTTTCCAATGAAACCAGTTCATTGACAATATTCATTAACAATCAATAAACTCTCACAACAAATTCTCACTATTGCCATGTTAAATTGTGAGAATTTATTGTCAATGAATAATTTTCTTTTTTCTATAACTTAGCTTGAAATTTTTAATCTCTAACTTCATTTTTTTTTTTAATGATAAAACAAGCTAATTGGTTGAAACCCTCAAAGGGATAGGAGCAGGAAAGGAAAACGAGGGTTCGAACTCTAGCTATTGGAGTAAGGAAGTGTCTTTCTGCCAATAATTTGGCCATTCACTCTACAAATTTCCCTCTAATCTCTAACTTTAATATCTCAAAGTATGATAGAAAAACTTCAACCCCTCAAGAGTTGTACTAGTTAGTCAAAACCAAGTTCGCTAATCAATTCTAACAGAGAGAATACTATTTATTTCCTCCTTCTCCCTCCTCTCCTTTCAAACTAACCAAACAAAGAAACCATCAATTTTTTATCCCATGATTATCGTTTACTTTCCTTTTACTTTTCCCATTGTTATAATTTATTTAATTAGGACCAAAGGGGTGTGGTTATGGCAATCTATTAATTTGTTAAGTCTATATAATACTATTAAAAAATATTAATTTTGTTCAATTTAACTGTTAAGAGTAAATAATAACTGATAGAACAATTAATATTTATTACTTAATCAATGGAAATTAGTTTATAGACTAATATTTTTAAGGATTTTTCTAAGGACATGTTAAAAGTGTAATTAATACACTTTTTAGTCATTAATTTATAAAAAAAATTGATATTAGCTTTAGTATCAATGCTAGGTGTCTTAATTGAATTAGTTAGTTGTTAAAATTAAAGTCAAACTTTTTTTTATGTAACTTAATGACAAAAAAGTGCATTAATTGATTTTTTAACATGTTCTTTTAAAGTACAACTTAAAAAAAACAAACCTTATTTTTAAATATCACAACTAGCTATTTTAAAAAAAATATTAATATTAATCAAATTATATGACCTTAATTAACAAAATATTGGGTATTCATAACCACACCTAAACCAAAGTAACTAGGTTTTCTTTATTCATGAGTTTGGAAAACAATTAGTTGAGGGGAATGACCAGTACATATAGTCGGCAAGTCTCTTTATTGAGTTAAACAGCCATAAAGACTTTTTGTGGCATCTCAATTTATTGGAGGTTTAAATATCTTATTTGGTCCCTCAACTTTAAGATTTATATAGAAATTGTCCCTTAACTTTAAAAAATATTAAATTTGTCCCTAAACTTTAATTTTTATTATCAAAATAGTCCTTCCTCTAACAAAAATACTATGTAACTCATTATTTTGCACCAAATTAGTTCTTTTTTCCAAAATCTAATAATGTGTAAAATCAAATAGTTATATTTTATTATTATAGTATATTTCTATTTACACATCAGATTAATATGTAATTAAAATTAAAAAACTAAATTAGTACTTATTATCACAATTTAAAAACTAAGTTGGTACTTATCTTCAAAGTTTAAGGACTAACTTAACATTATTTTCAAAATTTGAGGATTATTTAGGTACTAAAAATTAAATTTTAAGAACAATTTTAATATTTTTCAAAGCTGAGAAACAATTTTGATACAAACATAAAAATTGAGCGACTAAATTAGTATCTTAACATTTATTGGAATATCTTTATGGTGTTAAAATCTGGCAGTAGAGGTCTATATGATTTAATGCAGAAAGCAGTGATGCTAGCTGTGATTTCCTGCTAATTTACACCAGTTTGGTGAAGTGCCAACAAATTCTGATATCTTTCCAACAACTCCCTGATTTTCCGATCCCAAATTTTTGAAATTTCCTATATCTTCGTATTAATACCTCTAACCCTCGCCCATAATTTTCCCCGCCAGAAAGTGTACGCTATTACATTATTTGCTCTTTGCTGTACCTGGTAATCCGTCATATGTGGGGTTTCAGAGACAATAATAACATCGTTTCATTAATTATTCCAACCTGTAGATTAAGAAATCAATTAATAATGAATAATTTATGAGAATTTGTCTGATTCAATATATATATATATAAAATAGAGATTATATTAAAAAGTATGACTAAGATTAGACATGAATCCCTAAATTGAGGCAGTTATAGTAGTTAAAAGATATTTGCTTAGAGCAATGGTTATGGGTGGGGTTATTACCATACCCTAAGTGATTAATGTTACACTTTTTTAATGTAATTGTTCATTATACTTTTACATCACATTTTAAAAAAAAAAATTACATTTTTTATTGATTAATAAATTAAAGGATATAATAATCAATTAAGATAAAAATGTATAACATTAATAATTGAGAGTGTGACAATAACATCACCCAGTAATTACGAGCAAAAAGTATAAATGCCCGTGATTCTTTATCCATAACAAATATAATTAAGTAAAAAAAGTCTACTGATAAAAACAAAATGTAAAGAGTCTTCTTCATTTAGAAATAAGACCTACCAAATTCAAAAAATATAAATATGTTGTTGGTCAAGGTACAATAACGTATATTTAATCCATCAAAAACAATAGGAAAATGATGGGTGCACACTCGAATCCCACACCCGGGTGTGCACCCCCCATATAAACAAAAAAAATATGCCAATCACCCGGTCCAACCTTTTTTTTTTTTTATGTGGGGGGTGCATACCCAGGTGTGGGATCCAGGTGTGCACCAATCATGGTCCAAAACAATAATGTCTATTTAAGCTAGATGGGTGAGGTTGTGCGTGCTTTTTTGTGTAGCACCTTGGCTCAACTTGGGTAAC